AGGGAACCTCTCTGGTGCCCAGCCCTGGACCTCGCTGCTGCTGAGACAAGGGGTTTTGCTCTGCAGCCTCACTAATGCTGAGAGTCCTCAGAAGTCCCCAGCTCTCTACTTCTGCCACCTTGTGGCTCTGCCCCACCATCCTTTCTGCTGGGGACACCTTCTGGCTTACTCCCGGTCATTCTTTAGGTTCCACTTAGGTGTGGCCACCACCTTTCAGGATTCTTCCCTGGCTCCGCCTCTGCTCCAGCAAGTCCTATCTATCTTAGTCACTGTATTTGCCATCGGTCCTGTTCATCTCTGTCAATGTCAGCAGCTTCCCCAGACAGGGCTTAGGGCAGTGACTGGGGTGTCTCTGTATCCTCAATGCCCAGCACAGGGCTTGTTAAAGGAGGCATTGAATGAGCCTGCCTGGATGATGGGTGGGTGGGTGGATGCATGGATGACCTGTCTACTCTCAGTATGGGTCTAAGGAAGAGCTTCTCTTGACCAGTGAAGCCCGAATGGAAATTTCAGATGGCCCCCTACACAGGGTTCAGCTACACTCAGTACTCGTGCCTTCTGGCCTGGGTAGGTGTGGGAGCTGAATCGGGCAGATAATTAGCCCTGTACCCCAGGCTGCCCAATCCTGGCTCCTGTTTTCCACCCCTTCACTGGGCCATCTGAGTCTATGCAGGAAAGTGCAGGGCTTGCCCGGCAGGATTTCCATTCTGTGTGTGCTGTCCTCAAAATGTCTACAGACTCAGATGGAGAGGGACTATTTTGGATCCTGCTGGCTAGGAGCACAGCCAGAGGCAGACGATGAGGAGGCCCAGTCTGGACATCCTCCTGGCGTTGACACGAGTGAACCCGGGCTGGGGTCTGAGCCAGAGCAGGGTCTGTGCTCTTCATGGAAGCACGTGGCCACTCTGGCTAGAGCTGCTGGCCAGGCAGAGGATGGGGAGCTGGGATCTGGGCTCCTGGAGGCATGCCCACATGGGGAGAGGCTGGGCTTCCAAGGACTCAGAGGTGGGCAAGGAGAAGAAGGAAGTGAAATCTGCTTAATCTGATGAAGGAGGCTTGGACCCTGCCCCCTGTCCAGCTCCCTGTCTGATGGAGGAGACATAGCCCTGTTCTCAAGGAGTCCCAAGGGGCCAACACGGAGACCAGTCCTGGCCTTTAGGAAGCCCTGGCCTAATGGGGTCTGATGGGGGTTTTGGGGAAAACTGATTTTGTAATGTGTTTTTCTCTGTGATCTCCTGATCTGATCTGGCTGGTCCAGGGAATCTGTCACTCACTCTGCCTCTCCTGGCACGTGGAAGGATGGGGCATCCTAGGCAAATCCAGGAGACAGTGGATTCCAGTCCCAAACAGCTTGTCAGATAACTCTAGCAGGGCTCCATTCCCTGTCCACTCCCCCAGGGCACATAGGAGGGACTGTCCTGGCCTTGGGGGCTGGGGGGATAAGAGGTCTGGCAGAATTTGGATGTCTCTCGGCTCCTGTTTGTCCCACCTGCAGTTCTCGGCATCCTGTTTCATTCTCACAGCCCCCACTGCTGTGTTCACCAGGTCCTGGCTGTGGGTCCAGCTGTGGACTCCTCCCCACAGGCAAACATGCTGTTGCCGGGTCCAGCTTCTGTCTTGGTGTCTCCCGTCTCCTTCCTCGGTTGCACCTTCTCTCTGCTGATGAGCCTTCTCACCATCATTTGCCCAGTTCCTGGGACAGGCCTGCTGCACATGATAATGTCACCTCAGTTTCTCTCCTGATACACAGGTCATTGGACTGATGCTTAAAGCAGAGGGTTTCTCAGTTTCTGGAAAAAAGCGGTTTGGTTTTTGAGAGTGGCCAATTCTAGAGATTATCCAAAATGTATGTATGGGTAAAGCAGATCTGTCTCCTTGACCTAACAGGGCTTCTGGGGGGTACACCCATCTGTGGGGGTGAGCAGGGTTCTGCATGGGTGGGTGCCCGGCCTCTTGAATCTTCTCTGTGGTGTTAAGGGCTAGGATGAGACAGGCTCACAAATATTTAACTCCATGGCTTATTCTTAGTTTGGGCAGCTGTCCTTTGTATAGATTTGAGCCTGTAGCCTGAGGCTGGGGATAGTGTGAGAGTGTGTGTGCATATGGTGTTTGCACATCAGTGTATGTGAGAGGCAGGGGAGGCTGGCGCAGGTGTGCATGCACATGCAGGTGAGGGTGATTTGCACCTGTAGCCTGAGGCTGGGGCTAGGATGAGTGTGTGTGTGCATATGGTGTTTGCACATCAGTATGTGTGAGAGGCAGGGGAGGTGTGTGGCGCAGGTGTGCGTGCACACGCAGGTGAGGGCATGTTTAGGCTCCATGGTGGTGGTGTAGGAATCACAGCCTTGACTTTTAACTTTCTGAGGGGAGGCCTGGTACTCCTTCAAAGACGGGACACAGAGGGTATTTCATCCCATTTAGTGCTCTGCTTTCAAAAAAGGATATGTTTATTTTTCTCCTGATTGTAAATACATGTTCATTTTACAAAATTTGGAAATTATAGAATAATAATGGCCAAAGAGACTTTGCCTCCAACCAAGAACACAATCTGAATGAACAGCTGCTAATGTAGCCTTCTCTGTTCTCTCCTTGGCCCCTAAGCTCCCTTTTCTGTCTCTGATTCTGTGTCGACTCTGAATTGCATTCCACTTCTGTCTTTAAAACAGCATTAGGGTCTTTGTGTACTAATCTGCTTTTTCAGAGGGCTAGTTCTTGTTCTGATTTTGAGGACGGGCAGGGACACACACAGAGCATCCTCCTCCACTTCCTACAGAGAATCTTGAAACTCAAAGTCGAGGTGGCCCTCTGCCCACCCCCCACAGCACCCATTCCAGACACTGAGATGCCCCTGGAGTCACCTGGTCAAGTGTGACTCTTGCCTGTCATTCTGAGAGACCACCTAGCATAGGGGGTCCCCTCTTTAAGTCTCCAGAGGAGAATTTCTGGGGGCAGGAAATATGTGTGTGTTGAGGAGGATAGAGAGGAGAAAGTTGGGATGTTTCTGCTCTGGTGGAGAGAGAGATGAGGGATGTATGGCAGATCTCAAATGAGATGTTCAGAGGGATGTTGAGGTTGCTTTATTAGCAAGGCCACCAGCAGCTTGGACTCTCTTGGCCTGTGGGTCAGCATGGGTGCCCAGGAAAGCTTCTCTGAGTGGGTGGGGTGAGAGAAGGACCTCGAGGGCCGTGTGGGGTTAGAACAGTGATGGGGAGAGAGGGCAGACAAGGGAGTGGGAGCAGAGGCTCGGCAGTGGGACGGGGTGTGAGCTGGGCTGGGGGTGTGGAGCAGGCATTGGTGGGCGGGGGTGCTGGGCTGGCCGCTCCCTGGCTTGGGCTAATTTTGAGCCTGCTGCTCTTGTTATAGTGTCTGGGACGCCGTGAAGGTGGGAACTTGCTCCCAGAACTGGAGGGCCAAATTATGCCCGAGTCCCAAAGGGGAACGTGTAATTTCGGAAGCAGGACCACATCTTTGGACCACTATGTTTAGCTTTATTTTTTCTTTCTTTTGCTCCATGAACTGCTGGTTTCCCTCTCACCTTTCTAAAAATGAACTATATGAAAAATAAAAATAAGTCTTCTGTGAGGTTCAGGATGAGAACAGGAAGGGCAGAGCTGCTGCTGGGCTGGGGTTCCAGGGGTCACACTGCATCCACCAGCATGTGGCTGGGCCCCAGAAGCCTCCAGTGGCCTGGCTGGGTGCCCACTGGCCATTCTGCCCTCCTGCTGGTGCTTCTGGCTCTGAACAGCCATGAGGGTTAGTCTAGGGGAGGCTGCGCCCCCACAGTGATGCCCCTTCACACAGGGATGGGTCTGTGAGTTCCCAAACTCCCCTCTGGAACCCAGCAGGCATCAACCTCCGCGTGCTTCTCGAACCCTTCCTGACCCCAGGTGAATGTGTCTCCCTAGTTCTTTCTGCCGAAGAAGGGAGGCCCACATGGGGCTTGGCCTCCTGTGGCACCTCCCAGAGCCCCCTGCTCTAGGGCACACAGGAAGAGAGGGTCTAACCCTTGGTCCCAGCTGGTCTCCTCACCCCTCCAGCCTCATCTCCTTGGCCCCTGCCACCCTGAACTCTTCACTCTTTTCAATGTGCTTCTTTATTGCTCGGCTTCTGCACTTGCTGTCCCTTCTGCCTAGAAGGCACCTCCTGGCCTTGTCCACCTACACTGGCACTCATCCACCCAGAGCCCTGTCATCTTCTCTGGGACTATTGTTGTGGCCTTTGCAAAAGTCACCTGCCTTCAGGCCTGATGCCCGAGTCCCTCTGTACTCTGCAGCCCAGGGATTCATCCTAGGAAGTATCAGTTCACAGTACTGGAAGATTGTAGGCAACAACCTGATGCAGAAAAGGGTGCAGAAGGTTTTCTATATATAGAGATGGCCTGTTGAACTAGAAGACTCTTACAGCCCTCCCTCCCCCAACCAATACAAGCTTTTGGGGAAGTTATATAATGTCCTGGTTCTTGTCCGTGAAGAGAGAAGACTCAGAACCTGGATTAGCTTAGAAACTGCCCAAGCAGGGGTTGGTGTGGCTCAGCTGTTAGAAGGAAGCCCTAGGGATGATGGGGAGCTTGAAGTGGGTGTGAGATGGGGAGGTTTGGAAGGTGGGGAGGCATGTGAGGGTGGCATTAAGCCAGTGGTGCCAGGGGGAAAAAGAGCTGCAGGAGACAGGCCTTGGCTGAGCCCTTTTCAAGCACCTCGCATGGCTAGGCAGGCATGGCTTTCACCCCATCCACACTCACTGCTGCCCAGTGCTTTGTGCCCATTCTCCAGATTGGGATGCTGACTCAGAGATGTCAGGGGGCTTACCCAAGGTCACACAGCTGGTAAAGCAATGGAGCCAGGCATGTCCAACTCCAAAGCACCTGTTCCTACAACTTTTGCAGCCTCCCTGGTGGGAGAGCAGAGGGTGTGTGGTCCGACTGCTCCATCTCCTGGTGTTGTTCGGTCTTCCCTGAACTGGTTCCTCTAATCCTATTGCTAACCAGCGTGTTTAATTTGTAGCTTGCAGATGGTCTTTTGGGCTCGGCCCCCACTAACATGGCATCTTCTCCATCCAGTCCTCATGTATGTATTGTTTTCCTATTTTGGGGCTCCTTGATTTCCCTGGGGGGCTGGGGGTGGGGTAAGGAGTTAGGAAGGAAACTGAGGAAGGGTAAAGGGGATGGGGGCGGAAAGAAAGAAAGTATTTCCTGAGCCCCAGCAGAAGTTACCTGCCCCGCACAAAGATGGAGGGGTGGGGAGAAATCCAGAAACAGCCATCTGAGTTATGCCTTGGTGCGCCCCAGGGTTTGCCTTCATCATGTTCCCCTGCATGAGGGCTGGGGAGTTGGGTAGGGCCGCACCGGCCAGTGGAGACCGGGAAGTCCTTAGAGTGGATCCTGACTGCTGGGGCATGGGACACCAGAGGCCTCCATGGGCGATAGCAGATTGCCTTTCTCTGCCCCTCCCAGGGGCACGGAGGGTGTATGTGACCCTGGACATCCCTAGAAGATTCTGAGAGGTTCTGGGGCCCAAAGTCCAAAACTGCAGTTCCCAGCAGGGCTACTTTGTCTGCCTGGACTGATTTCCTAGGGGTCATCTTTTTGGATCTTGGGTCCTCGTTTGTCCAAAGATGACTTGGTGTCCAGCCTTCCACATGCGCTCATGAAGCCCCATGCTGGGAGCCCCTGACCTGCTGGGGGAGGCGTAAGAATAGGATCTACCCGAAGTTAGTTCTGTTCCTGATGCAAAGGGGAGGCACTGCTGTATTGGGTGTCTTAAGGGTTTCTAGGAGAAGGCAATATATATGTTTTAAAGTTTTTTCTGATTTATCCATGGTAGAAAATATAGAAAATATGAGACAGTGTAAGGCAGACAGTTAAAACCACCTGTATTCCTACCAGTTGGAGATAAACACGGCTAAGATTTTGCTGTGCCTACATTTTTAGATATGTTTTATGCACATGTATGTTTTTTTGGAAAACACAATTGGAATCCTGTACTTTCTAATAATTTGCATTTTCCTTTACGTAAAAGTATATTGTGAATGTTTTCTCATATCTTTATATTCTTCAAAAATATTCCTGCATAGCACTCTATTATATGGACATCCATAGAGTTTTAACTACTCCCCTGTAATTGGACATTTAATTTCTTAATTTCCACTATCTTATATTATGTCCCTTAGAGGAGTTTGTTTTAGCTACTTTAGATAGGTCCAACCCATTTCTTCTTGTTTATTCCTAGGCATTTTATAGCCTTTGTTATTATCTAAATGAAATATCTTTTCTCCTTCTGACTTTATTTAAATGGTTACTGCTAGAATATAAGTAAATAATACTTTTGTATATTTCCTTTGAAACAGACTCTTTATTAAGCTCCCTTATTAGCCCTAACAGTTAACTGATTCTGTTGGGTTTTCCAGCTAGGTAAGATTTTTTTCTTCAAACAATAAATATGTCACATTCTTTCTAATAGTTATGCCTTATCCTTTTTTTCCCCCAGAATGACATTTGATAATTGAGATGCTAGCGAGCAAACTTATTTAGTTACTCATTCTAATGAAAGGACTCTACCATTTTTCCATTATTATGGTAATGATTGGTAGTTTCAGGTAGATATTCTTGATTTTGTCAAGGTTGTGTCCTTTGCGATCAGCTTAGTAATTAATAGCTTAAACACTCGGTATGGGAGTTTAATTTTATCCAGTGCCATTTGGCATTTATCAGAATGATCATTTTGTTTTCACACTGTCAATATACCCATTCCTGGGGTAATTCCAAATTGGTCAGTTGGTCATGGTATTATAGCTTACTACAGTTGAAGTCCTCTTATCCAGTGCAATCAAGACAAGTAGTTTATTGGTTAATTGAAAAAGTTGATTAAGTAGGGACTGATTAAAATTAATGTCATACATACCTATCACAAACATTTTATTTCTAACCATAACCATGTATCCTCATTTGCCAATCATTTGATGTGTGCCAAGGCCTCTTTAAATTTGGATCTGCTGTTTGAGTGTCATGTCATCCTTCTGGTATAAACCACATCCCAAATGCATTATCTGTGCCTTTTCCTTTAGGTTTACGAAAGTTTGATGAGATCTTAATGATCCCTGTGAAAAAATCTGAATGTGGAGTCCTAAAACTTTAAGACCGCCCACCTCTGTCTTTTTTGTTACCTCAATTTCCATCATTAAAAAAGAATCAGCATTGAATTCATTTTCTAGATAATATGCCCTTTCTTTTTAAACCCAAATTTTATATATTTTTATATTTACTTATGGACCTCATGACCATATTAGTACAACTGGCATGAGCAGGTTTGCAAACAAACACAATTGACTCTTAGTAAACATCAGCTGCTCTGGTGGGAGCTGCGGTGGGCATATTAGATGAGCTGAGGACTTTCAGCTGTCTCTGGACCTTAGTCTGTTAGCAGAGAGAGTAGAGAGTGCTTGTTCATCCTCGTTCAGGGCAAGTTTGTAAGGAAAGCTTCCAGTGTATATTATTTATATTTGCTATTACTTATTTAGGATTTTTGCATTTCTAATATAAGTATTCCTTTTAGGTTGTCTTTGGTAGGTTTTGATATCAAGATTGTAATAGTTTCATAAAATAGTTTTTGAGATCTACTCTCATTTTCTATGTTCTTGAACAGTCTCTTTGGCATAGAATGATTGTTTATTACAGGTTCGAAAATACATTAGAGCCACTCTGTGTATTTGAATTCACTCTGGGAATTTGAATTATACAAGTTGGAAATTACATGATATAAACATTTTCACAGTCTTGCTTTTTGTGCAAAGTAGGTAATAATATCACTTAACCTAAATAAAAAAAAAAATTAATGGTTATATAATCTAAAAGGTGGTGGCCAAGTGAATTGTTTATGGTTTAGCTGTTGAGCACATCATCTCTTCTTGAAAATGGTGTTATATTATGTGAGTTTGAAGTACAGAAGATTTTCAGGAACACTTATCTTGTATAATTGTATAGAGCACATCTACCCTGTACTTCTTTGTAAAACTGGGCTCAGGACCTTCTTTGAGAGGGGATTCTTTGATTACTTTCTACTTCTGTCAATTTGGTGGCTTATTACATCAGTATGGATTTTTTACATATTACTACAATAAAAGAAAATGGTTCTGTATCTGTTTTGTTTTCTACCTCATCTCTAATTTTGTAATTTGTGTTCTTTTTTTGACTTAATATAGCATTTCATCTATCTGATGGCTGTTTTGCATCTTAAGAGCCAGCTCTTTAAAAATTCTATCAGATTATTTTCTTTAATTTCTAGGTTCAAGTCATTTTTAAGCTCTCTTCTTCTGAAATTCCTGTTATATATACTTTGGATATCTTGGGATATCATTTCATCTCTCTCTCTGTTGTTTAAAAATTTTTTTAAATATATATTTGTCTATAGTTTCTTTAAAAATTCTAAAGTTTTACTTTTTCATGCTTCAGTCCTGTTGCATCTGGAATTGACTGTGTATTTGGGTGTAAAGTATGAAGCAGAGATTAGATTCCTTTAAATTTTTTCCTATACAGCTAATGAATGAATTCATAGCATCATAGAATGATGTATCCTTTCTCATTGATCTATAATGGCAATTGTGTCATATATCAGGTTTCTATGTAAGTGTGGATTTGTTAGTATGCCGCATTCTGTTCCATTGGCCTTCCCTGTGCTAAGACTCCACTGTCTTGCCTGCTCTAGTTTTATAATAAGTGCTGATTTCGGGTGAAGGAAGTATTTCACCTTGTTCATTTTCAGGAGTATTATTGCTATTGTCCTTTGCTTTTCCAATTCAATTTTAGAATCAGCTTGCCAATGTCTTTAACAAAACTGTTGTGCTTTGTGACTGAATTACAGTAATTTTGGATCAATTTGGGGAGAACTGACATTTCTATTATAATGTCTTTTAGCCATGAATGTGATGTTTATTTATTTAGATATTCTTTATTTCCATTCTTTATTTCCATCTAAATACTCTTAGATGTCTTTCAATAAAATTTTCTAATTCTATCCAAAAAAGTCTGGTACAACTTTTATTAGGTTTAGTTCTGGCTGTTATATGCTTTATTGCCACTTTTTACTTGTATTTTTAAAGGCATATTTTCTAATAATTTTTTGCTCATATATAAATGAATTTTTTTCTCATATGCTGTTCTTATACTCAGAAACTTTGCCAAACTTTATTGATTCTACTGATTTGAGGATTATTCTGGGTTTTCTGTGTTGTCAGTCATTTAATTTGTGATTAATCACAGTATTGATTTTTCTGTGTACTTTTTCTTTTTCATGTTTATTACTTCCTTTTCTTCTCTTATTGCACTGGCTAGAAACCTCAGTCTAATATTCTATGTAGCTGAAAATAGAGAGCATTCTTATCTGCTCTAATTTAAAGGTGAATATTTTTATCTTTCAACACTGAATATGAACTTTGTCTGATGAATGATTACTAAGTTTCTTTAATGAATGATAAATTTTATTGAATGTTCTTTATGTAGCATAATCATATGACTTTCTTCCTTTAATTTGTTAATGTGGTAAATTACACTAATAGATTTTTAAAATGCTGACACAACTTTGCATTCTGAAACAATCTATTCTGCCCATGAAACATTATCTTTTCTGTGCATTGCTGGATTCAGTTTGCAAATACTTAGTTTAGGACTTTTTTATTTTGCATCAGTTATTATGATGCTGTTCTTTTCATGTTTTGGTATCTAGATAATACTAATCTTGTAAAATGACATGGGGCATATTTGCTCTTTTTCTAATTTCTAAATTAATAACCAAAGATTGACACTATCTGTTGCCTGAATGTTTGGTAAATTCATTTGTAAAACTGTCTAGACTTAGTATTCTTCTTGGGAATATTTTAAACTGCTGATACAATTTAAAAATATTTATAGGACTTCTGAGAGTTTCTGTTTGTATGTGAGTCACTTTTGTGATTCATATTTTATAGGAATTTATCAATTTCTTCCTAAAAATTATTGATATAGCATTTTTTATAACTTCTTATATTTTCAAAAATTTGTCTTCCCTTATTTATGTCCCCTTTCATTCCTAAGGTT